TGCCATTTCCTTCTCCAGCTCATTTTATAGATGAGGAAACCGAGGCAAACAGGGGTAAGTGACTTGCCCAGGGTCACACAGCTAGTAAATATCTGGAACCAGATTTGAACTCAGGTCTTCCTGACTTCAGGCTCAGCACTCTATCCATTGCACCACCTAGCTGCCCCAGGAAAGATAATATATGCACACAGTTAAGATAACAATTAGAAATATACTCTAAGTGCATAGAAGGGGCATAAAGGTCTCCTGGAGAGTAGTGGAAGGAAATAAATTCAATCAGTTGTCAAATCTTAACTTTCTATAGATCGATGTCAATATATTGATGTCTAGATATAGATAGGTATAGATATAAAGATATGTACATACACAGGAGAGATGGAAAGTAATCTCAGAGGGGAAGGTATCAGTAGCTGGAATATGTATACACACACACGTATACATATACGTATATGTGGAGAGAGAAAGAAGAGAGAGAGAGAGAGGTTCTAGAAGGCAGGGACTATTTCTACCTTTCTTTGTATCCCTAGTGTTTAGTACAGTGCCTGGAGCATAGTGACTGCTTCATAGATGCTCATTGATTTGATTTGATTTGAAAAAATTACTCTCAGCTGTAGGATCACAGAGTATGACGTGGAAGAGATGGTATCTTATCTGGGTCTTAAAGGAAGAGAAGAATCTCCATGGGGAGAGATAAATGGTTTAGGTTGGTGGGCTGGCAGTGAGGGGAGGCAATGTGGAAAGGCATCCAGAACACTCTAGCTGTGAGAGATGACATGAGCTAACACACGAAGGCAGAAGACAGCTCCAGGGAGGAGTTCAGGAAACAATCTGATTTAGGTAAGACAGAGGACATCAAAAGAATAATGTGAGACGACACTGGGAAGGTAGATTGGAGGTAAATTGTGGTGCACCTTGATTGCTAGGCTAAAGACTTTGGATTTTATTTAATAGGCAATGGGAAGGCTCCTATGGGTTTCAAAAAGCAAGCAGTGTGACATCAGAGCTGTACATTAGCTAGATCCATCTTTCAGTCTGTAGAGCAACTGGAGGGAGGGAGATCAGTTAAGAGGGTATTTTTAGGGTTATTTCAATTTAAAACATATTCATCAGTTCATTTAAAAAGCATTATTACACCTCCTCTATGTGTAAGGCACTGGGGATGCAAAGAGAGTGAAAAACAGCTCCTTTCCTCAAAGTCTTTATGTTCTACTTTAAACAAATAAATACAACATAGTTTGAATAAGGAGAGAGAGAACTAACAGCTAGGAGGTTCAGAAAAGGATGCAGCACCTGAATTGAGTCTTAAAAGAAGCTGAGGATTCTGATAAGTTGGAGGTGAAAAAAAGTGCATGTTCTAGGCATGAAAAATGGCCCATGTGAAGAATGTGAATGAAAGCTGGAGATGAAATACACAGTCTGAGTTTCATTGTGTGGGTAGCTTGACTTCATTTCAAAGAAAAGTAGCAGTTATCTGTCAATGAATCAAACAGTAAGTGCCTGCTTTGTACTCAGCACATGGGGAGGATATAGAGAAATAGAAAGCATGGTTCCTTCCTCCATGGGGCTTATTACCCAACTGATGCTTGTGCACCTTGCTGGAGAAAGTCACAAAACATCTACCGTAAATTTATTGAGAGGCAGCATGATATAGAGAGTTGACCTTAAGGCAAGGAAGAAATTATCCAAGTCTCATCTTGGCCACAAGCTGGCTGTGTGACTCTGGGCAAGTGACCTAACCTCTTCATGCGCTGGGCATCTATGATGCAGGAAAGGTGCCAGCCTGCATCAGTAGAGGGACTTTCTTCACCTAAGAATCCTGTACACCAATTCTCTACACAACTCAAGTCCTATAAATGTATTATGGTAAATAATCTCAGGAAAATCCTCATAATGCTGCATGATAATCCTATTCTGCTCTTATAGGCAGTGAGAGCAGTGGTCAGTAATTGTTCCCAATCCTTTATTTTTCTCTTGAAAGCCCGCAGTTGAATTCTCATCTCCTTATACTTAGAACAACAGATGAATTGTTTCCTACTTCATCGAGGCCACCTAATGGGAAATCCTTAATTCCCCTCCCCTGTTCCTCAACTGTTTTGGCAAACATCACCTATTCTTTTCTCCTTTCCTACTGTCTCAGAAGGAGAAATTTTCCATTAATTCTAGTAGCTTGTTGGTTTGTCCTTCATAATTTGTTGTGACTACAGTCACATCCTTGACAGAGAAGTGTAAAATTAGGGCAGCATTCTTTTCAAAAAGATTTCTGGCCTCAAAAGATGGGAGGTGTCCGTATCCCTCTATCGGGACTTCTGATAAAATTCTCACCTGCCTTCCATCTCGATTAAGCTTCTCTCTTCCTTCATTAAGTTTCAGCTCTTCCATCTCGATTAAGCTACTTTTTCTCTAGCAGCTTTAATTTCTTCTTCTCTGTTGACTCCTTCCCATCTTCTCAGGTCTCCCCAATCCTAAAAGAACCCTTTGCTTTTGATCCTCTTCTCCATCTAACAACTATACCATCTCTTCCCCCCACCCCACCCCATTCAAATACCAGACTTTTGAGAGAAATTGTCTACTTCAGGTGCTTCCCCTTATTCATTATCTACTTCTTCCTTGAAGTACCTGTAGTATGACTTTTATCCCTGCCATTCTATTGAAATTATTCTTCAAAGTGATCTCCTAATCTCCAAATGGAAATAGAGAGTGATGGATTTGGAGTCTCATGGCCTAGGTTTAAATACAGGATCTGCCATGTGTGACCCTTGGCAAATAATAAATTCTCTGGACCTTAGTTCTTACATCTGTAAAATAAGAGATTTGGACTATAAAATCTCCAAGGTCCTCTTCAGTTCTAGATTAGAGGATCTGACTTAAATCCAATGCCTTTTTTCATTCCCCCTTCCTTAGTAGCATTTGACCATGTTGATCACCCCTCCTTCTGGAGACTTTCTCTCCTCCCTAGGTTTCAGAGAGAACCTCTCTAACCCCTTCCCCTCTGTCTTCTCTTCTGTCTCATCAATCATCTTTAAATTGAATATTCCCTAAATTTGTGTCCTTGGCCCTTTATTGTCATTAAACCCTCTTCCTTGGCAATCTCATTTGATTGCACAGTTTCAACTAGTTGTTTTACATTGTTGACTCCCAGATTTTTATATCTGGCCCTGACCTTATTCCCAAGTTCCAGACTCATATCTCCAAATATATATAGTATAACTCTGCTTTTATGTTTTGCTAATCTCTTAAATTCAGTATATCCAACACCAAGCTTACAACTTGTCCCCAAGACCTGTGCTACCTTCTGACTTAAGTATTTTTCTTGGGGCACCATCATTTATCCAGTCTCCCATAATCAAAACCTTTGTGGCATTTTTCATTCTGTCCTGTCATAATTTCCCTTCCTTCCATTTCATCCTTCACCCTCTAAGTCTGTACTTTATTTCCAATCCATCCATCCCTTTGATTTCCCATCCTCTGGCTCCACTTTTATCCTATCTAAATCTAAATCTAAATCTAAATTGTACTTAACCAACACAACTTTACATTGTTACCTCTTGTTACATCCTTCCTCCCTTATCCTTAAGCCATTTATACTCAGTTGATTTTCAGCTTTGGGGGTGATTGCCCCCACCATCAACCTTCTCTATTTCCACTCACATACTGCTGAATGCCAATATAAGAAGTCATGTAAGTGTAGACTGGGACCTTGCTACCATATTGCAAATATTTTTATTGTACTTTAATTTGCTTTCTACTCCTCTTGATACAGTTCCAAATCTTCTAAAATGAAGAACGTCCAGAAGAGGGTGACCAAAATGGCAAAAGGCCTTTACATATGCCATACATTGACCAGTTGAAGGAAGTGGGGGTGTTTAGGGATTTAGCCTTGGGAAAAGAAGATTTGGGGATGGAAGGGCATGCTACGTCTTTAGTATTTGAAAGGTTATCACATGGGAAAGGGATTAGATTTCCCCTTGTTTGGTCCTAGAGAGCAGAACTGGGATCAGTGGGTAAAAATTATAGAGGGCCAGATTTAGGTTTGATGTAAATAAAAACTTTCCAGCATTTAGAGCTGCCCCAGAATGGAATGGGCTGTTTTGGGAGATGGTAGGTTCTTCCTCATAAGAGGTTTTCAAGCAGAGGCTGGATGGTCATTTGTCAGAGCAGTGCAGAGCTGTGTGTTGAACTAAATGGACTCTGATATATCTTCCAACTCAGATTTTGTGATTCTTATTTTCTGAAACAATCAAACAATAAGCATTTATTAAGTGCCTACTGTGTGCCAGGCTCTGTGCTAGGCACTAGGGACATAAAGATTAAAAATTAAACAATGTTGGGGCAGCCACGTGGTGCAGTGGATAGAGCACCAGCCCTGGAATCAGGAGGACCTGAGTTCAAATCCAGCCCCAGACATTTACTATCTGTGTGACTCTATGCAAGTCACTCAACCTCTAATTGCCTCCCCACCAAAAAAAAAAAAAATAAACAGTCTCTGCTCTCAAGGAATTTACATTCTATTAGAAGAGACAACACATACAAATATAAGTATGTTTAAAGCACATACGAAGCAAAATGTTTAGGGAAAGGCCAAACCCATGATTTCCCAAGTATAGGGTATTCCCAGTGAGGAAAATCCATCCAAGGCTTATCTGCGTGGGGCACTGAGATGTTAAGTAACTGGCCCTCCTACACCTGCCAGTAATTGCCTGAGGCAGAATTTGAATATAGGTCTTCCTGGCTTTGAGGATGGCTCTCTATCCATCATGATGGAAATAGTATGAATAATAATGATAATAGCATTTGTATGGCACTTTAAGACCTGAAGAAAATGCTTTATAGATATTATCTCATTTTATCTCACAACAACTCATCCACTTCTCTCACTGATTATGGGATCCACATTCATGAAAACAGAAGAATTCTCTTGTAGTCTTGGCAGACAAAATATCTGGTGAGCTTCTGTTACCTTACACTGAAAGAGCTTTTTTTTTAACCTTCTTCCACTCTAGGTGATTTATGCCTTGAACACTCGAAATGATGAGTATGAAGCCAGTGTGGAGGCTCTCAGAGAAGCTCACCAAGATGAACTTCAGAACATTGTTGCTGAGACCAAGGCCAAGCTCCTACAGGATCAGAGCAGCACGCTAGAGCAAGACCTTCAGAAGCGCATTCAGTCCCTAGAAGATGCCCTGGCAGAGCAGAAGAAGCTGACAGAGGAAGCTCTGGCAGAGTCCGCCATGTATAAGAAGCAGACAAAAGAAAAAGAGTTGAGAGCAGAGACCGAACATGCCGAGAGGATCATTTCCCTCTCCAAGGAGATGCTCGACCTCAAAGCTGACTTTGAGAAGAAACTTCAACACCAAAACCAAGAGTCCTCGGAGAGCCCCCAGAATGAAGGCAGGGGGTTTGCTAAAGAGAACCCTAACACAGAGGAAGAGCTGGCCCAAAGCCACAGTGAGGAGATGCTGAAGGCACACAGGACATTGGAAAAGCTCAGAGCTGAGAACCAGCAGCTCAGCAAGGACTATGCCCTGAAAGCCAAGCAGCTCCAGGCCATGCAACAATCCGTGGCTGAGGCCCTGAGGCAGTGGCAGCAGGAGGAGGCTGAGCTGAGGAAGAGTTTCCAAGTCCAAGAAATGGCTCTACAAGCCCAAGTGAAGAGGCTGGAAATAGATTTGCAGTCTAAATGCCAGAGAATAAGTGACTTAAAGAAGTATTCCCTGAAACTAAAGGAAAAGATTCAAGTAGGTTGTAAAATACTGCTATAGTTTTGAATTGGGTTAGAACCAGCAGTGTGATGGGAAATGTTTAACAACCAGCTCTCGGGGTAGAGAAAGTGGGGATGTGCACATGACACATTTTTAAGTTTTATCTGCATTATTAACATTTTCATCAGTTTCTGCCCTGATTTGGAGCGCTTGCTAACTTCTGAATTGTAAATGCTCACACTGAAAATTTAACCCTCAGCTCTTATGAGCTGGTTTGAGCTGGCTCCAGGGCACCCCCTGGTTGAACTCATAGACATGTAGAAGGCTAGAGCTAGAAAGGACCCTGGAGACCATCCACCAGGGATGGTCACCTTTTTAATGTCATGGAACTCTTTGTCAGTCTGATGAAGCCTAGGGACCCCTTCTCAGAATAATGTTTGTAAATGCATAAAATAAAACACATAGGACTACATAGGAAACCTATTATGTTGAAATACAATTATCAAAATATTTTAGAAAATAATTTCATGAGCCCCAGCTTGTTAAGAACCCCAGATCTAGGCTAAGTCCCTCATTTTACAGAAGAGAAAGTTGAGGACAAGAAGCCTAGGTAAGTGAGTTGCTCAAACCTAAGGCATTAATTATATTTCATAGATAAAGAGGCACGCTACAAGCAATTCTGCATCCTGGGAATTAGAGGTACAGCCCTCTGATAGTTTTCTGAAAACAGATCACTATAACTGTGGGCATTTATGTAGCAAAGCGAATTGCCACGTGAAGCCAGACTATGGCAACATGTAGTATGGGCAGGTCATGGATGCCAGAGAAATGAGGACTCCAACATCTCTTTTAGGACTTGGACATCCAGCTCAGGGCAGCACAGCGAGAAAACTTGGAATCCAAAAACACTGCAAAAATCCTTGGGGAGAAACTAGCTATTGCAACAGAGAAACTCATGCTGCAGGAATGCCAGATATTGCAGGAAACAGGTAAGTTGCTCCAGAAATTTGAAGCAGCTTTGTTGAGGCAATGGTAAGCACAGCAGAGAGAATATTTGGAGAAGCTCGGCTGAAGAAAAGGAACTGTCTTGGGTGGGTCAGGCTGGCCAGTGAGCTAGAACCTAGTCGTGTAATTAGGTGGACATTTGGCTTTGGAGCCCAGACCCAGAGAGGAGGAGTATAGAATCATTGATTTAGAAATAGAAGGGACCAAAGAGGCCATCTAATCCAACCCCTTCATTTTATGCTTGAGGAAACTGAGACCCAGAAAAGGTTAAATGATTTGCCTAAGGCCACACAGAGAGTAAATGGCAGAGTCAGGATCTGAACCCAAATAGTCTGCAAAATGAGCTCAAGCCTGAAAGCATATCCAGGAGGAGGGTTCATGGAACTAGAAATGTACCCAAGAACAGATGAGATGCTGGGGTCAAGGTGGGGGCTCCATTTCCAGGAATTCATTCAAGTCAATAAGTATTTAATAAGATATCTACTAAGTGCCAGGTACTGTGAGAGAAAACAAGATCAGTAAGGTAGAGCTCCTACCTCAAAGGAGCTGATATGTTCGTGGGGAGACAAGTCTTAAAAACACACAGAGAAACAACAGCATGAAGCAGTACCAGATGAGTGGCAGAGACAAGAAGTGTTAGAAGGGTTCCGAGGTCGCGACTGCTATGGGCCAGAGTACCTAGGGAAGGCTCCATAGTGGAGTGGAGCTTGGAACTGAACCTACAAGGACAGGTACAATTTAGATACACGGAGGCAATGTTGGGGGGGCAATTGTTATGGGAGGAATTGCATGAGAAATAAAGAGGTGAGCGTGAACATGACATATTTGAGAGACAGCGAATAGAGCAGCCCAGACTGGCTAGAGCATAGAATTGTGAGGGGGATGGACGAAGTTAGAAAGCTATATTAGAGCCCGATTGTGGAGGGCTTGGATATGTGACCAAGGCTCAGGAACTTCTGTGTGAAGTTTAAATGCTGCATTTACAGATGAGATGAAGACGTTACTTGGTTCCCAGAATGAAGCAGATGTCTTCAAAACTGCCAGTTTCTGCCTGCAGCAAGAACAGCTGTCCATCACAGAATGTACATGTGCCAAAAGGAGTGAAGATGCCCAGGTAGGTGTTCCTTTCTGTCTGGATGCAGGGAAAATTTCAGGGGGTTAGTCCTGGATTTACAAATGGGGGACAAGACTTGCAGTTCTTTCAACTGAATTAAAAGAGTTGTAAGAGTCATTTCAATTCAACAATAATATTTACTAAGCTCCTGTTGTGTGCAAAGCATTGTATTAGGTGCTGAAGGGATTCAAAAATAAAAAAGATGGGGCAGCTAGGTGGCACAGAGCACCAGCCCTGAAGTCAGGAGGACCTGAGTGCAAATCCGGCCTCAGACACGTAACACTCACTAGCTGTGTGACTCTGGGCAAGTCACTTAACCCCAACTGCCTCACATAAAAACAAACAAATCAAACAAACAAAAATAAAAAAGACACCTTAAGGATGTCAGTTTAGTAGGGAAAGGAACAAGACAAGATAAGACAGATTATTACAACTCAATTAGAATTTACTAAATCCTTAGAAGATTGAACAGAGTGCCTGGAAAGTTTAAAGAAGAGAGATAGAGGTCAACTTAAGAAGACTTCTTGGGAAAGGTAGTACATAAGGAGGGTTTTGAAAGATGAAAAGGATTCCAATAGGTAGGAAAAGCAAAGGAAAAACAAATATTCTAGGTGTGTTTGACTCAGAAACAGGGACAGTGTCTCACACTTAATTTATCTAACTGTAGGGTTTATTGAATACAAATCTCATACACGGAAGATTAAATGAAGATCTGTGTGTTCTGCTCTTCTCAAATATTGCCTGATATATATCCCTGTCTTTGTCTTACTAAAGACAGACACATAGCTGTTCCCAAAAGGTTGGCTCTACCAAGACACTAATAGCCCAACTCCTAGCTGGTCCACAGATGTTAGGGGCTGTGCAGTTTTACGTTGAAGTAGACAGAAGGAGTTGGATATGCCAATCTAGCATGAGCAAACCCCAATTAGAGATGGAAGAGGAAAGGACAGAGTTTTAGAGTTATGCCAATATTAAAGGGGCAGAAGGAGGAAGAAGGGCCAGCAAAGGAGTTAGAGAAGTAGGAGGGAAACCATGACAAGTACCAAGGGGGTAACCGGCATCAAAGCAGAAGTGGTCAAAAGTGCCAAATGATGTATAGAGATCAAGGAGGGTGAGGACTGAGAAAACACCTTTGGATGGACTCTAAGAAAGTCACTGGTGACAGAGAGAGAGAGAGAGAGAGAGAGAGAGAGAGAGAGAGAGAGAGAGAGAGAGAGAGAGAGAGAGAGAGAGAGAGAGAGAGAGAGAGAGAGAGAGAGCTGCTGCAACCCCCCCCCCCAGCATTTATTAAGTGCTTATTATGTGCTAAGCACAGTGTTAAGTGCTGGGATACGAAAATACAAGCAAATAAAACAACTCCTACTTCAAGGAACAGATCCTGTGTTTCTAGAGTTGACTAAGTAAAAGAACCTCTTAAATGTCTAAGATAAAAAGCTCATAAAATTCACTGTACCTTGTGCTGGGTGCTGTAAAAATCAGCATTTCAACAATGGAAACAGTTGTATGTAAGAGAACTAGTGCATTTTTAATTTTGAGTCCAATACCTCTCTCTCTCTCTCTCTCTCCCCCTTCCTCCCCTCCTCTGCCTCTCCCTTCTTTGCTGCTGTCTTCTCTCTCTCTCTGTCTCTCTCCTCTCTCTGTTGCTCTGTCTGTTGTCTCTGTCCTCTTTCTTCCTTACTCCCTTTCTTTTTCACATATGTGTATATATGTACATACATATATACATGTTTCATATATGCACATGTGTATCTACCTATCTATAGGCCAAGGAGGCTGGAGCTGCTTTTGAGAGAGAATATTTGAAGCAAAAACATGAAATTGAGCTTCAAAAAATCAGGCATCAGACAGAAGAGGTGAGAACACATCTCAGGGAGCAGCTGGTGAAGGGATTAGAAGACTTGGTAAAGAAACACACCATGGAAATCAAATCAACTCAGTCGTCCATGGAAGCAGAAAGAAAGAAGCTACAAAAGGTGAGACTTTCCTTCCAGTGACAGGCGCAGCCTCTTTTTTGTTTTTTATTTTTTCAAACAGCGTGATATGTCTTGGAGGTATGTGTTTCCCTCTGTTGGTTATTTCCAGTTCATCGTGTCTACATCATGTTTGTACGTGGTTGTTTGCTTTTTGTCTCCCTTGTTAGACTGTGAGTGCCTAGAGGTCAGGGACTGGCTTTTGCCATTCTTTGTATCCTCAGCACTCAGCACAGTGCTTGGCACATGGAAGGAATTTAATAAATGTTTATTAACTGAGTCATTGACTTCAACAATGTCTGAAGTACATCTTTTCCCAAAGAACTTGATCTTATATTTTTCTGGCTTCAAAAACAAGGAAAATCAGCACGTTTGACTACCTATCATCTATCTATACATAAATGTGTGTGTGTGTGTGTGTGTGTGTGTATATTTATATCTATATATACATATATAGATATATATGTAAACATGTTTGATTATAAGCATGTATATGAATATATAGTCAAACAAGTTAACTGTCCATGCATTCTTTTACATTATGCCATGATGCCTCTGGTGAGTAGCATTATTACTTTGGAATCACTTCTACACATGTCATCTCATTTATAGACATTTTCATCTCCATTTTGCAGACTAGAAAATTGAGATCCAGAGATGATAACTAACTTGCTTAAGATCTCAGAGCACATTTGTGAAATGTGAATATGTACACATGGTGTACACACATATACATGCATATTTGTGTATATATTGTATGTAATAACAATAGCTAATATTTATATGGAACTTACTATGTGTCAGGCACTGTATTAAGCACTTTACAGTTACTATCTCATTTGAGTCTTACAATACCTGGGAGGTAGGTGTTGTTATTATCCCCATTTTACAGATGAGGAAACTGGGGCAAACAGAGGTTAAATGACTTGTCCAGGGTCACACAGTTAATAAATGTCTGAGGTCACATTTGAATTCATGTCTTCCTGACTCCAGGCCCCAGTGTGGTGTCCATTACTCCACCTAGCTGCCACAATTATATATATTAATAATAAATCACACAATGTTATACAATATGATATTATATATATAATTAATATAACACTACATTTAACAATTAGTATATAATATTATTCATATGCATTGTGCTTATTAAATACTCTACTATTAATATTAATAATATGTTATATAACATTGTATGATATATTATTAATATATTATATATGATTGGGGCAGCTGGGTGGCATAATAGATAGAGTGCTGAGGTTTGGGGTCAGGAAGACTTGAATTTAAATATAATTCAAATTATATTAGATATAATATTATATAGAATATACTGTATGTAATTATATCATATCATATATAGTATTCAATGCATTATATTTACATGCACACAGGGGAGATGGATTTAAGAGACATTGAGGAGATAGAATTGACAGTACTTGGAAACTAAATGGGAAGTATTAGAGAGAAGGGAAGAAGTCAGAGGTGATAAAAGAATCTTTATGACTCAGGTGTCAGGGACCAAAAAGAATGCCTACCTATAGGTTTTCCAGTGAGGTACATCATGTATGTAAATGGGAATGTGGTCTGACCTGCCTTTCCCTCTTATCCAATCTGTGTAATAAAGCCATCCTGTACTTGGGGTTCTACTGTACGGTCTCCCCTTTCCCCTGTGCTGTGACCAACCAATTCTAAAAACCAGGCCCAAAAGAATGACCTAACGCACTGGCATTCATCTCCATACCTAACAGCAATCAGTGAGCCAGACACTTGTCTCCTGGAGCCAACAGGTTGCCCTGGTAACCTGCTAGCTCCAAAAGAGGCTGAGTGTATAAATCTCACTAAAACTTCCATCACCATTCTGTTACTGGCTCAACAAATGAATCATGTAGAAATAATCTGTGCTCCCTCATTTTTCTTGCTCATTTCTGTATTTTGAAGAGGTTATATTTCCCAAGTGGTTTTAGCCTGGACTTTGAAATGAGGCACATAAAATAAGGAGAGATAAAACTGTTATTTCCTGAAAGCTTGGATTTATAGATTCAGAATGGTCTCCATTCTCCCCTATGTAGTTAGGTAGGCTCTATCTTCTGGTCACCTTGAGTTCTGGGGGAAGACAAGCCTGCCTGGGTACCCTTATGTATCCTTTTAGTACGACCTGAGAAGATTCATCCTCAGGCTAAAGGAAGAGAGAGTATGGGGTAGTTGGACCCCCGGGAAGTTTATCTTTTTTCTGTTCTAGAGTAGAGAATTCTACCTAACCTTGAAAGGGAGAATAGAGCCCATTTATATGACCATAGAATGTAGAACTGAAGGAGACTTTGGGAAATCATTATCATTTAACACATAAGAAACTGAAACCCAAGGGAGAGGTAACTGAATCCAGTTACTCCAAATCCAGTGCTTTTCCCACTATTCCATACTGCTTATATAATGTCAAAGTTAACTATTCATTTGCATAGCCATACTTAACGTGTATATACTTCAGTGAACAGCCAATTGGATTCTCTGGAATTTTGAGATTTTTTAATTTAAGGGCCATATAATATATTAAATGATTTCCTATGATTTCACAGCTTAGGATCACAAATTTTAGAGTTTGAACAGATCTTAGAGATCATCAAGACTAGTCTCTTCATCTTACAGATAAAGAAATGTAGGCCTAGAGGAGCTAATTGACTTGATTAAGGTGACACAGTTGTATTAATATTTAAATGGCAGACCACAAGATACAGTGAGATTGTCCTTGGTTAGCTAGAAATCAACTCCCATTCAGGATTTAGTTTAAAAAAAATCAATGTTCAGATTGTATCTGGGGTAAGATAACATGCAGTTGACTAAGCTTTCTATATCTGCAGTCTTATATAGTCATAATTTGATGTCTAGAAATAGATGCATAAAACATTCGAGCCAGAAGCCATTGCCTTAGACCATAGAGGCCATCTCATTTTACAGGTGAGGAAATTAGGTAACAAAGAGGTGACATGACTACCACTACCCATGATCAGACAGGTAGTGATAGAGGCAGGACTAGTAACTGGTTCTCCTAACTCCTAGTCTAGTGTTATTTCTAATATAATGATGACCCTCAGTTTCCAAAAGTGCCTTCTGTACCATCTGAGCTTCATGTGACTTCATCTTCTAATAAATAGGACTAATCTTTTAGGTTTGAATACATAGTCAAAGTCTTCTGTTGAAGTAGGGAGCAGACAAATGAGAGGCAGGGTGGGTTGGGTAGTGATAAGAGCGCAGGTCTGGGAATTAGGAGACCTGGCTTCTATTTCTAATCCTGGACCATTCATTCATTCAATCTGTATTCATCGAGCACCACTTAGGTACAAGACATTGTGTTGGGTGCTCTGAAGGATATTGGGAAGTAGAATACATGATTGCTCTTCTCATGTAAATTACAATTTAGTTGTAAAGGTACACAAATAATTATTATTGAAGTCAGAACTTTGTAAATGCCATATAACTGGTACAAATGAAATCAATATGTTATTTGGGGACAAGTCATTTACCATTACTGTGTTCCAGTCTCCTCTTTAAAATGGGAGGGGAAATGGCTTAGACTGGATGACTTCTAAGGTCCTGTCCATTTCTAATATTCAATGAAGTATCCTGGATTCTCCTGTTTTTCTGTTTCCCTGTCATTCTCTCCCTTTTCATTTAATAATAACTCACATTTCAACAGCACTTTGTTTTATGAACCTTCTTTATAATAATATCCCTGTGAGGTAGGGAGTGCAAGTATTATTATTTCCATTTACAGATGAGGAAACAGGCTCAGAGAGGTTATTTCACTTGGCTGAAATCACAGGTGTAGTTAGTGTTGGAACCAGATAAGTTCTCTTCTTGTTCTCATAGCCTGTGAATCTAAGTTGGGGGATGGGCTCAGTAGCCCATGGAGATCTCTCCCAGTCCTAGAGTTTTGTGGTTCATATTTTGACATTGAAGTCTTTCATCTGTTTCGATTTCCTTGTGACCTTGGCACCTTTGTCTTTCTTACTCTTCACCTCCTACACAGAGTAGATTTCAGAACTTTCTTCTTGAAGTCTTCAAGGTCATTTTTAGGCTGAGTTGGATAATGGTGCATTTTCTTTTAAAGTTGTTGAGTCAATCTAGAGCAATTTGTTTACTGACAGTCAACTGGTGGTTGAAGGAATATATGTAATGGGCTAATGAGCTCCCAGGGCAAATAGCTTGAAGGAATTCCAAACGCCTGCCAGATTCTTCAGAACCTAAGTTTAAGTTTTCTAACTCCAAAAAGCTCTACTCAACCAACTTTTTTTCCCCTCACTCTTGGAGAATTTAATTTTGAGCTTTTCTCCATAAGGCAACTGCCATGGCTGGTTCCTGTGATTGATTCTATGTACCATGGGAAGCTTAGTACAGAAAGTAAAAATAGAAATAACAATTTTCTGAGGTTACTGATCTTTCCCCAGAATGATTTTTAATTTATCTTTGTCACTCACGTGAATATGTTTGGACAGAGTTTGTGAGTATATGCAAAATGAGTTTTTGGTTCAAGAAAACTTTCTGTTGAAGAGAAAATAACCTATGGAGAAAAATTCAAAAATGTTAGCTTGAGACTTATTTTTGAGAGTTATCTAAGAATAATAATAATAATAATAGCGGATATTTCTAAAACACTTTTTGGAAACATTGTGCATTTCATTTGTGACCCAGAGGTGAGTGCTATTATTATCACTATTCTACAGATGAAGAAACTGAGGCTCTATCACTTACTAAGCTGAACTGTCTGTTGTGATTTTTGAATAATTCATTTGATGTCTCCAACTTTATGTGAAATAGGGATAATAATGATACCTATACTAACATGCTAATCTGTTTCATCTAGTCAGTAAGTATTTATTAATCACCTACTGTGTGTCAGTCATTGTGCTAAGCACTGGGGATACAAAAAGAGGGAAAAGACAGTTCTTGCCCTCAAGGAGCTTACAATCTAATGGAGGAGACAATAAGCAAACAAACACATACAG